ATACTCGCCAAGATGGGCATTTTGACATAATTTTGTATGTATTTGAATGTTTTAGCATAGTTAGCCACTCATTTAGGTATTTGTGGCTCACAAGCTGTTTGAGAGTGAGTGTGGCTTGTGGGCTCCACTAATATAGATCAGTGGTGGTGCACGCACTTTTGGTATAAGCGCGAAACCTGTGAGAATGACTATAATGCGCAATACACTATTTGCATTACACACAAAAGCACTATTTAACCGGAGCGAATGAGACGTGTGTGAAGAGAGAAGGGGTCGTCAGAGAGAAGAGAGCGAGAATGCGTGGCTGATGTTATTGCCTGTGCCGCTGGTAACAAAATGGATCGGCTCGGAATCGGAAAGAAGTGAGACCGACCGACCGATCACCGATCCGGGCCGATCATGAGGAAAATCGGCCGATTCCGATTCCTGGCCGATCGATCGGTGCATCTCTATCAAAATTGTTATATATCTTAGCCCAGCTGTTTTAAACAGTTTCTAGGGTTACTGTTATGTAATTTTATATTAGTGCTACCAGTATTATAACATCAATATTGTAACTTATTTGTAACATTTTAATTTTTTATTTAGTGCAATAGGCCTATTTTGTCATTGCAACATTTTAGTGCAATTTTCACTAACAACTGCAATTGGGTTTATATTGTATACCTAAATTATCCCACCGGTACCGCTATTGTGACCATCAAGATGTTTACTCATTCTATGACCACACTCAACAAAACTGAATATATGTGAATTCATATATGAATACTAGACACCTTAAAGATAATGTGTACAAATAAATCTTTGTTATATCTTTATGTTAACATACTTTACTAGCCTTTCATTTTGGAGCTTTGATGCAGCCATTATTTTCTCAAGGTGGAAACAGGAAATAAACTAGCTCGAAATCGGAAAGAAGTGAGACTGACCGACCGATCACCGATCCGGGCCGATCATGAGGAAAATCGTCCGATTACGATCCCTGGCCGATCGATCGGTGCATCTCTACTTAAAATGAGAACACTGACTGTTTCTTAACATAATTTAAGTCATTATGTTTTATGTAACTGTTTTGTTGTTTAACTGTGGTGCATTATTTTATATTACATTTAAAGTTAATATATTTAAAATGTACTAAATTGCTACTTCATCATTACAAATGTGTAATTACAAATAATAGGGATGCACCGGTACCACTTTTTCCAGTACTCGCCCGATACCGATACTTTTATTTTTGGTACTTGCAGATACCGAGTACCGATACCGATATTTTTATTGCATTTGTAAATGTTTTAAATATTGGGTACAGAAACCAAAAGAGTATGTATAATGTTAGCTGGTTAACTTC